AATCAAATGTGTTTTTAGTCATTTCACAATATAATCTAAAATAATATATTGAAATCTTATATAATAGAACATAAATAAACTTTGGTTTCTTTTATCTACTCTTATTTTCAAAAGTTTGTTGAAAATTGTTTTTTTTTTTTCAGTGGGAATATAAAACAGTGTTTAAAACCTGTTAGGTAACACAGTTCTTATGTTAAACAAATGTAATAATTATTGAACAGTTAATAAAAGTGAGAAAAAAGGCATGGACATTTTGGAGGACCGAAACGTTAGAAACTGTTGGACAGTGTTGACGTCTGCATTAACTTCTTTAACAAAACAAAAACAACATTCAAACCATTTAACTCTGATGGGTTTTCAGATCATGTGTTTGTTGTTTTTCAAACAGATTGTTTAATTTCTATTTTCTCCATCATCAGTATGAATGTTAGCTGCTGTTAGGTGCAGCTGCAGAATGTCTCTGACTGGAAATAAGACAAACAGTGTTTAATAGTTAACTAATGGTTAACTAAACACAGCTGGCCACAGCTTTTGGCTGTGTGTGTCTGTGTGTTTGTGTGTCTATGTGTGTGCACACTCACTGTTGTGGTTTTGATGAGTGTCTGTTCAGTCACCTCATGATGGCCTCGGCTTTTATTGGATGTTAAAAGCTCTTTTGATTCCCTGTTAGCATTTCGCCTGTTGTTGCCGTCTGCAGCTGCTTCGTGATGATATTCTGCTCGACTTTGATGTTATTTTCTCATCTCATCAAAAGTCCCACCAAGAAACTCTCCACGTGTTGCAATCTGGGTGTCGTCAAATATCTGGAAATGAAGCCAAGTGATCAGAGAAACTCATTTCTGCAAGTTTATTTTTAGACTTCAATCTGCAGGTTGTTTAAACAAACACAAACAACCAGACAAAAACAACATAAACATTTTTTTGTGTTACATGTAAAGTAAAATGATCCAAATTAGAAATATCCCCCAACCCCAATTTCTCTCAGCTACCATATTTTCTCAGTTTGTAGTGATGTTAATCAGAGAACTAGCTTCTCATTTAGTGGATTAGCTTAACCGTTAGCAGACAGATTAGCTGGTTTTAAGTCCACTAAAAAAATCACAAGTGTAAAACTTCTGTTTTTATGCCATTCATCTCAAATTAATAAAATATATCCACTCTTACAAGCACTGCTGAACATGTCAGGCACCTTTAGCATGTAGCATCTTTAGCAGCTAAACTTCAAGATAAATAAATAAAACAGCATTTAACAATACTCAAATAACAAATACAAAAGATGATTAAAATATAATAAAAAAAAGTATCTTATATTCATTATTTGACTAACTTCAAAGCATATTTATAAAAACAGAAGCTAGATCAAATAAATGCTTTTAATCTGAAAGGGGTCAACAGGACGTAGCACAAGTTAGACAAAGCTATATAATCCTTAATGATTTATAATTTCAAAGCAAATCTTATTTTTTTTCTCCATAAAACATTCAAAATGCAGTTAACARTGTAAAATAACAGACTAACAGTACAACTGCCAAAACAGAAGTCAACTGGACTGAACTGCCCACGGACAGTTACAACAGCAAAACTTTAATACTTTTTCTATTTATATACATAAACAGACAGATTTGAGCTTACCGGGTACAATAAACAGCTCACAAATTTCCATCAGTGTGAGTTACAACTGCATGCATGAATGTGTTCAGTGCAAAAACACAAGAAAGCACCGACTGATGGGCAGCTAGCGCCCGTTAGCTTAGCATGCTAATCGGTGCAAATCTTGTTCAAAAAGTCATTACTTTGACACAAACCCCGGGGAACCTTCATAAAACACAATAACAGCGCTTAAACGCGAGCGACAGGTTTTATGGGTTAGTTATTTTAGCATAATTGTGATTTTAAACCGATGTTAAGCGTAGAGAAGTTCAGTTACACTTACTCATCAGAGCTGGGAGCCGCGAGGCGTCCTAAGCGCGCCTGAAGGACCCCTTGCCGCGTACAGCTGCGACCAGTCAAGTACACTTCGCTGCAGCATGCAGCTCGGGGGCGGTGACAGACCTCCAAGTACACTTCGCTGCAGCATGCAGCTCGGGGGCGGTGACAGACCTTTCCGTCGGTCCCATACCTTATA